CAGTGTGACGGGCACATTACAACCATCCAACCTCCAACCCTTCCGTTGGATGCATCATCGATCCCATTGCCTATCTCAACGAGGAGATGCACGCACCCGCAAGCACACAAACATGTTAGGGCATAATAACAGGACCGACAGAAGAGAGGACACGCGCGTGCTTTCGTCACCTCAGTCAATCATCCTCCATCGGCCCACTGTTAACCGATTATCTGGGGTTTATGCGTTTGTGTGTGTGTGTGTTTCAGTGGGCAGTCAAGTCATGGAGATCGCTGTGCCAGTGCCAGGTCCAAACTGTGCATATTTCTCCACCTCACTCTGCCTTTCCGCAGTGTGTCTGGTACACAGGCACAAAAGCACACACACACACAAAGCACCTACAGCTCCGCATCCCATTCACGCTCGTCGCAGATTCGTTCCGCTGCGCGTGTGTGCGTGTGCTCTACGTGCACACAGTTATCGAAGCGAAACAACTCGCCCCCAAGAAAGACGGAGGCTGGTTATGTTTGATTTCCCATTCTGTGCACACTCAGGCTCAGAGATCGTGCTTGGCGCAATCCCGGTTACATAACAGACAATATTCGACTCACACATACGCTTTTATTGAGAGCTTTCACTGACAGTTAAGTAGCTCTGCGCTGGAATCATTGTGAGGAGAGTGATGTAGTGATTAATGTAACTTTTGGCACAAATGTTAGTTCGTGAGTCAAAATTGAATATTCAATCACGGAATGACTCAATGAACGTACCTATGTTATATCAATTCTCTCACGTCTGAACGTCGAACGGGTATATACTACAACGTTTTGACCAAATCAATTCTGTACTACATAAGCTATGAGCTGTTAGGGCAATTAAATGCGAAAACTGAATAGTGGTTTTTCGTCACAGTTGTTTTTGCAACGAAAGTAACCAGGCTGGAGACCGAACTAATTTAGATTGGTGGGGTTGACCTGTTTCCCACAGAACATATACCGAATGTCCTACTCAAAGGCCGTGGGTATTTCGGGTGAGGTGGATGAAATGAACAGAGATACGTGTAGGTCATTAATTAGTATGTGAGAAAGCAGAATTTATGCCTACATTTTTTGCTTGATCTCTCTGTCATCCCTCTCTCGCTCACTTGCCCTCTTGAACAGAAGCACCGCCAGTGGAATCGCAGTCATACGTGCAAAGCTTGGTTGTTGCATTACTTGTCATTCTTAAGCCATCTTTCTGAATAATCGGTTTCTTAACCAAGTGATACTAAAAATTGAGCACGTGAGAATATGCATAAACTTGGTGTCCAGTGCCAAATATTTACAATAAATTCACGGGCACCATACCTACATGAAACTTTAGTTGTTACCAGCATTACGATATTCACGATGGGTTATCTAGCATGTCTGTTCCCAATATGAGAGTCAATTGGGGTAATCTGATTTCTGGGATCTCATTCTTGTTCTCGAAACGATACCGATTCAGTTGTTTACAGTCAGTATTCCGTAATTACCTGTTTTCCTGAGAAATCCTAATTAATCTTCCCTTCATTGGGCAGTGGTCAGCGTCAAAACTTTATCGCTCCGGATGTGTGTTTGAACCCCACCATGGTGACCGAACTTCCTCTATTTATTATGCGACGTATCATTTAATTGGCCACTTACCCCTTCCTGAAAATTATTTGTATGATTGTGCGTTCTACACACCGTCTATGAAAATAGCTGGATAGGGTGTCCGTTTTATTCATAAATGCCGATAGGTTTTGTTTGTTAAGAAAAATTCATACGTCACTTTACCTGTGAGCAAGTAGTAAATTGAATCTCATGTTATTCTCATACTTGGCTCAAATTCTGGATGAGTACACTTCGGAGTAGTTGAGCCAGGCTCAGTTATGTAACTACTATTCAGAGGAAACAAAAAGGCAGCAAATGAATCCATCGGCTCTTGCGGCAGTGTACTTGGTCTCGTGATTACCTTTCATTCAGTCTCTCTCGCTCTCGCTCGTGTCACTCCCAGACATGCACGTTTCTCGTTTAGATTAAGCGAAATCCCGACTTGTCTCTCGGTTCGTATGTGCCGGATTGTACTTGTGCACTCCTCCGTCATCTACCTGGTGAATGTTTGTGTTTGTGTTTGTGTGTGTGTGTGTTCACATCTCAGCCCCATCAGTCCTTGCGGGTAGAGTGCCAACCCAGCGCCCACTCTGCCTGACTGCTGGCCCGATCACTGGGTTCCTCACCCCTTCCATTTGCTGTACTGGTTCGTGTGTGCCCATGCGTGCTGCGTGCCTGTCCGTCGCTCCCATCAGTCACTCCAGTTTTGGTCGATTGATCGATCGACTGCGATCAGCACGAACAATTGTTTCGCTCTGGTGCGCTCTTGTAATGTGCTGTACGTCTATACGAATTGCAATCTGCCTGTGCGTCAACATACAAACACAGTGCTAGCTACTTCGGTCGGTCGGTCGGTCAGTCGGTCGGTATTCTCCTTCTCCACGTGTCTCAGCTCTTGATGGTCAGAACTCGCGCTCGCAAGTACACACGATCGCACACACGCTCTCATTACGTTCTGGTCTGGCTTGCTTCAGGCAATCGTGTGCTGTGCAGGGTGCATGGATGTTTGTCTATTTGCCTATCCCTTAGCACATCCGTATGCATGTGTGTTCTTCACTCGTGTTTGTGTGTTATTATGCCCAGACTGATGCTGCTGCTGCTGCTGCCATGACTGAATGCGTGCCTACAGTCTGTCAGGAGCATGTCGTTTGGACTGCGCTCACTTTATACCGCGAAGATGATGCTACAGTGTGCTAACGGGCAAAACCGTACACGCACAAACTAAGCGGAATCCGGGGCAGACGTCCTCTAACACAGCACTGCCCGATAGTAAAATGGGGGAAATGGGACACGTGCTGGTTGGTTAGATTGGTCCAGTTGCCCTCAAGACAGAAAATTTCAGGTAGAGGGAAGAAGAGCTTTTGGCGGTGAAAATGGGAGGAGGGAGAGAACGGTCGAATGGTGCTCGTTCAGAGGACCGCTCAGAACATGTTTGCACAATTGTGTTTGTTGTTGTGTTGGTGGTGGTGGTGGTAGTGGTAGTGGCTGACGGGAAACGGAGCTCGTTCTCGACCTCCAGAGCGTTATCATACTCGTCTCTTTACATCATTCTTAGAAGGAAATGTACCAGACGGGGTGGGGGTCTGCACTTAGCTGTTGCGCTTCCTCGATGTTAGATAACCATATACACATTTGTCAGCATGTAATACACACGCACGCACACGCATACTTCACTCATTGTCTAAGCCATAAATTTCTCTCCCACTCGTTTTCTGTTTAGCCGTTTGTCGGTGACCTTTTTCGTTCTTTCGCTCAATTCTCGTCGATTTGCGTGCTGTCGACTAGCGTTTGTGTGTACCCCTCAGTTGACGTCCAGTTGTCTGTCGGACGATTGGACGTGGTCAGGTGATCGGATTGACCCACCCTGAATCAGAAGCCAACGGTTTAGTTAAGACAACTGATAGGGGCATACTGTGCGATGGACACTGTGAGGAAATGTACTGTTATCGTACACTACGATTGGTGGACAGCCTCCTTATCCGAAAGTAAACCAAGAACCGCTCAGACAGATAAGGCACTTCTGTTATGGGTTTAGGGTGGGTGAGACCAAGTCTCACAAAGAGTGCAAATGCCACACTACTGCTATGCGATGGTCGGGTAGACCACACTACTTACGGCATGTTGAGGCAACCTTAAAAGTATGCGCAGAGAAAAGGTGGTTCGACGAGGCGAACATGTCCTGAGGAGGCAATACGTGATGGATTAGATCTGGTTCTTTACCATTGCTCTAACTTTGTTGCCATGATAATGGGAATGTTCCCTCAGTGTGGGGATGACCTGGGGACAGGCTGTGCTTTCATGCTATATTTGAAACAAAGAGCGCTCATCCAGTTATATAAGGATGAGGACTATTAACAATAGGCTGTCAGGCTTTTTTATGAAGCCAATGATGCATTGCCACTTATTGTCATACGAAGTATGGTGCACGGAATGCTTTTTAGTGCAGTTTTTTGCAAAGGCCTATACAATTTTGAGCTTTGATTTAGCGATATTGTGTCAAAGAATGTGAAATGCCTTTAGTGCACCCCCTGGCTGGAATGATTAAATAATCAATTGGCGAATAAATAGAAAGAAGATCTCCGAAGCAGACGATTCTAGCTTTAATTCGATTTTTTGCCATTCATTGAGGATATCAGATCTCATTTCGTNTTGCATGGGCTCACTCCTCCAGCACGCCCCAAACAGTTTCAGTACGGTTCAAAACAAGCCAGTCATCAATGTTTACAAATACGATAAAATAAGTACATTGTAATGACTTGAGTGGTATGCATGAAGGTATTGTCTTGCCGGGAAAGCACGCAACCTCACCGATATGCCTAACTTGCAGCGAAAATGGGATGGTTCAAAGTTCTGGTGTCAAAACCAGTAGTATACTTCCCTTCTCCAATCCCATATGGCGATTTGCCTTCGGTGAAAATGGTACCCCAAACCAT